TTTATTTATTCAAGTGTGACGTGTGTGATGCAGGTTCTGTTGGGTACACAAAGGGCCACCTTCACACGCGCGTTGAGGGACACCGTCAAAAGGCGTCATCTATTTACAAACATTCCAAAAAACATAACACTGCTGTTCCGACCAATTTCTTAGCACGCTACAGTGTAATCAAGCAATGCACGAACAAATTTGACTGCCTTGTTAATGAAATGCTTTGTATTCAAGATCTTAAACCAGCACTGAATGTGCAGTCTGATTCTCTTCGTGCTAAAGTATTCATGTAATTAGCTTGGCACTCTCTTATGCAAATTCTCTTCAACTTAGCCCATTCACAAACCGCTTTTTATCTTTAATTATGTAACCTTGATAATGGCGCAAGATGCACCGAAACGTCTGTTTCTATCGCTCATATTTCTTGTTTCATGTATTTCCAAATCGTTTCTTATAAATCCAAAATAAGGCTATTTTAACTCGATTGTGGAAAACAATGATTCTGTATGGTCTGGAAAGCTGGAAAACCCCTCGGCAATTATTCAAAAAGGGAGATATTTTGCAATTCCCAACTTGAAACTACAAAAAAAAAAGAAAGAAATCTGTAGGCAAGATGACGTCTTGGTCGAGTAAGCCCGAAGGAAATGCGCATGAATTGGACGTGTGTCAAGAAAGGAGTACGATTTGCTAAAGAAGGTTTGTTCTAGATACTGAGGGAATAAAAGACAAAGAGAAAGGCCCAAAGTAACCCTGAGAAGAATCATGTATTGGTTTGGAAAGGCCTATGCCTACGTCTATTTTCAGATCGATAGAAAAACTGTGTTGCAAGCATGCACAAGTATTATGTTTTGATTGCTGGATTACACCCAGCCCTCTCAAACTTATTACATGTAATAAGCAATGATTAAATAGTGTTTTACTGTCATCTCTGTGAAAATGTTGGGCTTTTGTTTTGAGTTATGAATGCCCAAACAAATGTGTTTTTTTTTTTACTTTTTATGGCTTTATTTGTGATTTTCTTGAATTTACTTCGGTGAAATTTTCCAAAATTTTCACGGCATATCGCGTTCTCTGAGATACGAATTTTAAACACGAAAAAGGTAGGGTTTGTAAAGGCAGTTTTTTCAATTTTTGCAAATTTCTGTCCTGCACCGTTGCAATAAAACTGGTCCTGTAGATTTCCCTGAAAAACAAGCTCCGACTAAAGTAAAATATTTACTACCAGTCTGCCAAGTTTTACGGAATTTTACCCAAGGAAATGGGAGGAATTTACTGTCAGTTTCACGTTTTGTGCTCATGTTGACGTCATGAATATCGAAAAACACAGGCGTTCTCCTTCGAGCGCGCGCAGATTACTTGAGCTTTCGTCCTCAGCGCGCGAGCGATGGCAAAACAACAGGGAGCCACCATACTCATCTAGATGGTCAAGGTATTGTATTTTATCTCTAAAACTCGGCTCCTTGCGATGTCTACGGCAACCACATTTAGCCAAGTACACATGTCCAATTTACCTTCACTTGACAAGCGTCATTGTAATCTGTCCAAACTAATCCATCTGTAGATGATTGCAATGTATATGTTTCCACCCAATGATCTTCCTGTGAATTTCCCTGGGTTGACACAGCACAGATGATGTGAAGTGTCTGCAGGTCAATCTGTAGATATGGACTAGGATCGCTTGCTCCTGCACACCAGGAAGATTCTGCTGTGTAGTTCACTCGACCATTCTTGGCTGGCGTGCGCGCACTCTGAACGGAAGAAGCAGTTATCTTGTTGTCTGGAATTGCGCCACTTCCAATCCCAAGATTCAAATTGTTACAGTTTCCTGGCGTGAAGGAAAAGTGCAATGGCCATGGAAACAACTTCAACACCGATTCATTCAATTTGCTTTTGGGCTTTGCCAAAGCTAAACTGAGTGACTATACATGTATATCTTTTGGATATGTATCCTCTCACTGGCTGAGAGTAAACAGCTTATTCAAGCTGGCATCTAATTATTCCTTTTCATCTGCAGTGCCGTTTGGGTTGCACATTGGGCGACATCTATTCTCTTATTATTGCTTTTATGTTTAGTTTAGTCTGCTTCTGCAGAAATACTGACTACTGTTGCATAAAGTTTCGGGCTTCAAAATGTTTGCTTTAAGGCTCAACGTAGTCCAATAAGCATATTATCCCATTTCAAGAAATAAGACCTAATTCTGGTTTCCAGACTAGCGTGTAATTATCAATATAATTCGAAGAGCAATACGAGCAATCAGTATGAAACCAACCATGTTAGTACTGTAATGATACAATACCCTTTAGCTGTCAAGACAAGGCTATAAATAAGCGACACCTATTTATTATTCGTAAGTTCAAACAATGTGCAATATCATATGTGGCCAACCTCAAAGTCTATATCCAAAAAACACAAAACAAAACAAAACAACAAAAAAAACCTTTTAACTAGTGTGTCTTAACTTTTAACTACTGTTCAAGGGCAATCCGATGTTACCATGTTATAACAACAGGTCTTGCAATTACTGTGGTGAAAACAAGCTATATCTGACATAATTCGAGCATGATTGGGTTATACCGCAAATCAAATTCGAAAAAAATATTTACATACGCCGCTGTATTGGGTGCTTCAATCAAGAAGTATGTACCTCATCTGGAATTGCAAAGGAAATCATACTCACCTAACACCAAATGAAGAAATACTGCGAAGACAGCGACCCGTCCACAAAGTGCGAGATCGAATTTTATCGCCATATGAACGTGTGTTTCTCTTACAATCACAAGACGCCTGACGGATTAAAAACAGCAGAACAGAGCTAAATACGGTGACACATGTATTTCTAGAGATGACGTGGGCAGAATAGAGGCCCGTCCTAAGAAAAGCATCGATATCCGAAAAGGCTTGGAATCCGGCATACAACAACACTTACCTGTTAGGACCTGTTAGGGGGCAAAGAAATTCTTGTTTCCTTTTTTTTCCAAAAAAAAAGGAGGTCCTGTCAAAATTATCCTTTTCAATTCATTATGAAAACGATTCTTAAAATAAACCGTTGCCCAATTTCTAGATTTGTTCAAAAGAACTTCTTTTTCAGAAATAATAATGATTATTCGAGATTTGTGTTGAGCATCCTCCTTGGCTAAACAAATAGCAACGATTGATATCGTGTCTGTTTCAGTTGCGATTATAGAATGTTATTATAATTTACACTACACTAATTCACATCTTGATGATGGTATAAAGTTTACACAGTAATGGAAATGTTATTAACCATTACTTTGGTAAAGATGCGCAAATTGATGAAATGTTTAATATAACGTTTAAGAGGGTCTATTATACTCTGGCGGTTTGGCGGTTAAAGCCGATTTTGATTGCCGCTTTGTGGGTACAATCACATTGATCTGGCGGTTTACCGTTAACAAAATTATCGCGCAGTTGCGGGAAATCAAAAATTTAGCTCGCGGTTTTCGCTTTTTGCGTGTTTTCGTGGCGGTCATTCAAACATCTCGAGAAATCTTTGTGTTTGAGAACAGCCCACAAGACTTCAAACGTTTTTGTTCGCTGGTTACTGAATGAAGTTAGAAACAATTTGTTCTGTTCTTAAGATTTTGTGGTCTTTGTGAGGAGAAAAACGATTATATTGAGCTAACGTATCGTATAGAATTTTGAAAGATCAGTTATGATGATAATCGTCCTAATAGTAGGGCGGTTGTGGTTTTAGGAGAAAACGAAAGCGTCGGGTCTGCGGTTTCCCGAAAGAACAAAATATGACGGTGTGCGGAATGTACGACCCGCTATAATAGACCCTCGTGTAACTACTCAGATTAGCATCGTGGTGAATATTTCACAGCTGTGTTATTTGCCAACCTTATTGAATTCAAAACAAAACAAATTCAAAAACAAATTACAAAACAAAAACAAAAATGTTGCTCTGGTCATAGCACCAAACATGCCAATTCTGCTGGCCAAGAAGCTTTTGCTTACCTGGCTGCATGTGATTTCCCCTGTTAAACCCGTAGAGTTTGTCATAACCAGAGAACCGTAAAGATTTCCTGACCGTGAGGGCCTTTTACTAAACGACACTCTTGTAAAAAAGAAGACTATTGTAATAGAATCTCCCAATGGGGCAAAAATATGGCATTTTTTATCGCTGCCCGAAAGGAAAAACTTAAAAATGATAGTACCAGAGGTTTGAGAAAAAATTTTCCTTATACTAAACAACGATCGAGAGTACGGAGGTCGCATTGGATGCTGAATGATTACGTGATAACCGAAATAAATAACCAGAATGACGGATTCCAGGGCTACTTTTACTCCTCTCGTTGTACCATAGCTAGATTTTTGCTTCCGTACACGGGCAAAAACTTGGCAGAGTTTTATGCTTGAAAGCATACACAATTACGCATAGTGGACCTATTTTTACCCTTGTTAGACAAAGGCAGGAAAAAAGTATTTTTTCCTGTGGCACAAATAAATATTGTGGTTGTTGTTGCTGTTTCTATTGTTGTTGGTATCAGCTTGTTTTGTTACGTTCATTCAAGCCATAAATTGTTTCTTGATTCGAAGAGCTTTACAAGCAATTAATATGTGGCAAGCCATGTCAGTACTTTAATGATACAATTTCCTTTTGTGCATAAACCAGACTCTAAATGAGCGACACCTATTTATTATTCAAAAGCTCAAATAATGTGCAATGTCATATATGGGTAACCTCAAGGTCTATATCATCTTTGTCTATATCCAGAATAAAAGTTTCACTAGTGTGTTAATGTGGCTACTTGGGTGCAGGAAGCTGTATCCATCTTTTTATCTGTAAATACCTGAATTAGAAAGTACAAGTCATATTTTATTTGTAAACTGGTGTTACTACCTCTAGATAAAGCCATCAGAATGGCTATTCTCTGACATATCAATACAGCTATCAAAACGTTGACACTCAGTCACTAAAACCACACTCATAGGAAGTAAAATTTGTTACTTTCACTGAGATAGAAGTTGTCAAGAAACGTAAGAGCGATCTGACACACTATAACAGATATGTTTCAAGTATGATTGGGCTATATACTTCAAATAGAATTAGAAAAGTATCTATAAACGCAGCTGTATTGTGACACTTCAACCAAAACGTATATACTTCATCTGGCATTGCAAAGGAAATCAAACTCACCTAACACCAAATGAAGAAATACTGTGAAGACAGCGACACGTCTAAAAAGTGCGAGATCGAATTTTATCGCCATGAACGTGTGTTTCTGTTACAATCACAAGACGCCTGACGGATTAAAAACAGCAGAACAGTGCTAAATACTGTAATAATGACGTAGGCAAAATAGAGGCCCGTCCTAAACAAAACGCTGATATCCAAAAAGGCTTGGAATCCGGTATACAACAATACTTATGAGTTAGGGGAAAACGGAAACCTTTTTTTCTCTATTTTTCCAAAAAAAGGGAGGTCTGTCAAAATTACAATTAACAAGTTTA